CATCATCATCATCATCATCATCATCATCATCATCATCATCATCATTACGTTATTTGAACAAAATAGTAAATGATGTCATGAGATGAGAAAGTGGGAAAAATGTAAGAGGAAAAGAGGCAAAAGTGTGGGGGTGGATTTAAACGAGAGTTCAGCCTTGAATCTCAAAGTAGTCACAAGCAAGCTAAGATCAACTCCCCTTGAATTCATTTGACACTTATCTAACTCCTAGCAGGTGCAAACTGTTAATTGAGAATATTCCTGTGGACAGGCATGAGGAATAATAAATCAATTTATTTGGACATTCACTTGTGGACCTGATCTTTTGTGCCTAACAAAGAATTTATCAATGCATATGGTTAAATAATTTGGAACAAATACAACTTAGACAATTAATTTACATAATTGACCTATTACAGTTTGAGTCCTGTGCTTGTTCATGTGAACTTTTTTTTCTCTTGTATCTATCAGTCTGTCTCCAGTTAAATGTATTCTTCCTCTATCTCTAGGAAATACATTTAAGAGAAGCTTCTTTTACAGAATGTTTGTTCAAGATGTGACACTTTATGAATGAATTAGTATCTCAGGAATATAACTTTATCTTGTATCTTGGGTGGAATAGAGGACACAATCTACCCAGCAGGACTGTCTTGCTTTGAAGCAATCTCAATGAAATGCTGTTGACATCCATAAAATTTCTCTTGAGTAAATGTTTTACGGACTGTAGTCAGTTTGGAGCAGGATTTATTGTTCAAAATTGTGTCTGAGTAAAAAAAAAAATTACGGGAACAGAGTTAACAAAGCACACAATTATCAAAAAACCAAGATTTGATCTGAGCAAAAAGATATTTTGGTAATAAATGAATGGCTTTTCAGTGTGCAACATCCAGTGATTTATTAGCTTGCTGGAAAGTAACTCACAAGTGGTTTAATTTATCTTCTTGAGAGACATTTAGTTCAGGGTTGTATTTAGAATGTACAGACAATGTCTATGTGGAACTGGATCACACAAAATGATATATTTTTGTATTATTATTTTTTTTTAGATTTCTAATGATGGATTCCGGTACAGCAATTCAAAAGTTCTGACCTTGTATGATGGACTCTGCCAGGATTGCAAATTCCATCAAAATGGGCTTTGCAAATTAAAGGTAATTTCAAAACACTTAGAGGTGTAGCAGTGAACATTCATCTTTTTCTTAACACTCCAGCTTCCTAAAGTGAGTGATGTGACTAGACAAGTCTCAGGGAACCAGATTTGTTTACTGATCAGCTGTATATATACAAGTACATGTATATGTACATGTACGTACACACATACACAGACACACACACACATACACACACATATACACATATGTGTGTGTGTGTGTGTGTGTATGTATATGTATGTATATATGTATATGTGTATATATATGTATATGTGTA